TCAAAAAAAATATATTGAAAATTGATCTAAATATAAAGAATGGCAAACTTGTCATTAAGCGTAGTTCTTCTTTTGTTTGAGTGTAGCAACTGCTGCCTGCTGGCAAGGACATTAATTTAATGGCGCAAGTGAAATGAAAGTGAAAAGAATCACAGACGCAAACACCCCTTCCCCTTACCCTTACCCACCCCCAACCCTCTATCTCCTCTCTACTCTCTCCATCTCTATCTGCTTTCTCCTTTCTCCACTCAGCCATCTACTGCTTTCTGCCGCTTCCCCAACTGAACTTGAGTTGGTTTATTTTTGGTGGATGGTGGAGGGGAGGGTGGTGGTAGCAGAAACCAATTAAAAGCGCATAAAATGCAGCGACAAAGTCAAATTATGAACTGCAACTGCAACTGCAACTGCGACTGTAGAATGCAACAACAGAAATGTTTCCCAAAATAGTTGCAACCAGCAGCAACGCCTCGCTCGAGTTAAGCCTAGTTAAGCCCATGTGCATGCTACATGCTGCATGCTGCATGCTGCATGCTGCATGCTGAATGCTGAATGCCGTATGTTGCATTCGGGGGCATGCAACAAAGCGTACAAAACCAAAAACTGCTCCAGCGCCCAGCGACAAACGTCGCGCCATTTGTCGCTCCCAAACTAAGCCCACTTAAGACCCTAAAAAACAGCAGCAACATCAGCAGCAACAGCAACAGAAATGAGTGGAGTCGACTCGAGTTGAGGCAAGTTGAGTAGAGCGGCTGTTCGATTTGACTTATGGGTTCATTTGCTTAACTGTCAGTCAGTCCAGGCGGCCAGCTATTTATGGCACTAGCTGTGAAACTCACATTCAGATTCAGATTCAGATTTAGATTCAGATTGCGATTACGATTGAGGCAAGTATCTGTTTACAGTGATCGCTCCGATATTAACACTTTCAGATATTAACATTATACAGCAATTGAAGTTCTCCTTTTATTTCTACTCACAAAAGTAAATAAATTTGTGCATTTTCTGAATGTATTTTTTTTTTTGTTTCGAAGTAGAAATTCTTTGGTAAACATTCTTTTTTATATGTATGTCTGAGTATTAGCGAGTTAGAGACAGCTCTCCCTGCAGATACCCAGAATACAACAGCTTAACTTTTGCCCTTAGCCAAAGTTCCCGTCAAAATTTGATTTATTTCCCTCAATTTTGAAAAAATATATCGTAAGCAAAATGAATTTTTTCGATATATTGAAAATATCTAACAGAAATTTATGTTCTTTTAGTGAAAAGAGCTCAATTTAGGAAATGTTCAGCTTTTTGCTGGCCACAGATAAATATATGTTTCTCTATAAATAGCGAAATATATTTTGTATATTTTATTCGCGCAAATATGTTTTCTGGCTACAGGTAAATTTCCAAATGTATTTTGAATATTTTGAGGATTTGTCTCTTGAATTGTACGAAAAATAAAGATTAAATCAATTTTAACAAAAAATATCTGTTCATTCACGAAACGGGAGCAGTTATCGCTTAAATGGACTAAACTTCACCTGACTGTGGTCTACGATAATTTATATTCAAAATTTAATATCTGTAGCTATGGTTAAATCGACTCTTCTGTAAAGCCAATCAGGAATATATATACTTTATGGGATCGTAGATGCTTTCTTCTGCCTGCTGCATATTTTACACAACTTTATGAAACCCTTTTCATATTTGTAAATATTTTAATAAATAAAATAAATACGAATTAATAATTGGTTGCCTACCAAATCAGTTCTTATCATTTTGTGTGCTTACGAGTGTTTACTGTACTACAATAAACTATCGAAAGCAGCAACTGCAAATGCACTTGAAGTTCCTGTGGCTTTGGTCTTTTATCCGCTCCCCGATCAAGTGGAATTTGGCAGGTTGTGCCACTCTCCCCCATCTCCTTCTTCTCCCCCTTCCCCTTTATCAGTCACTATGCCCCATCCGTAAAGGGGAGCGGAATGCCCCCAATTCTAATTGAGAGCAATTTCACGCTGTGGCAGGCAACGCGTGTCGCTCGATTGTTTCAACGAAAATATGATCAAAATGAGAAGAGGAAATTTTTTGTAAATTTTTTCAATTTTTTCGTTGTACAATTGAAGCATGACGGCAAGCAAATTGCCTCGTGAGCTGCCTCATTACGTCACTGAGTTGTGGTGCGCGGCATGCAACGTAATTAGATGTGAAAGTGGCTGTGGATGTGGATGCCCCGTGCGGCAGCTACTGTTGCTACTGTTGCTACTGTGCTGCTGCTGCCGATGTTGCTGGTGTCTGTTGCTGTTGCTGTTGCTGTCTCTAAGCATGGGGATTAAGGATGCTGCCAAAGAGGCAGCTGAAGCAGTATTCAAATTGTATCCGTCTATTTTGTTGTCGGGGGTTGCTCATATTTGTTGTCTTAGAGCACGCCTTAAGCAAAAACAAATATTGTACTACACATATATATATATATATATATATATATATATATATATATATATATATAGTTATATGCTGAGGAGTAAACAAATTGTATTCTAAGCTGGAACTACGCCTCAGTGAAATGGAACGTGAGCTGGATGAAGGTGTGGAAAAGTGACTTAAGTCTGTAAACTGAAATATCAGTCGGAAGTTTTTACAGCAGCTGTGAGACTATATTCGATATTCTATTTTATCTGTTCTATTTGATAAGGTTATAATAAATGCAGATTTCAAATTAAATGGAAACCTAAAATGAAAGTTGCAAACTTAACTTAAAATGGATTAACATTGATTACATGGGAAACACTGAAAATAACTATGAGACAAAACTATATTTGTAGGTTAAAAGAGAACTTCTTATTGAATATACTTATTTATCAGAACCAACTTATTAATATTATAGGGAAGGCTCTTCACTGAGTGCCAGCATATCTATTGTGGCCGCTTCAATGTGTCCTTCTAAAAGACAGATTTATTTTCTCTTAATTGACATATTTCTGAATTTTGCAAATGATCTTTCCAAAAATGGGTTTTCTTGCTTCCGCTCTTTAGAACTTTATTTCTATTTGAATCATCTATTAAGATACTATATTGTTCTAGTTTTCATTTTGGGTCGATTTTTTTCAAGGTGTGGTTTCTCCATTAACCATAATTCTTGCAGGAATCCAAGAATCTTTGACAAGTTGAGGGTTTCTATGCCTTTCTAGTTGATAACATATTTATCTCGGATTTCTCTATTTTCTATCTAAGATGACATATTGTGCTATGATGAGGTTTTTTCCGCTTGGTCGCCAATAACGTAGATTTGGCGTCTGATTTCACCTAATTTAGTTTCGGATCTTGCTAGTCTATAACAATAATGTTCTGTCAAGAGACCGCTGAGCATTCAATGCTATTCCAAGTTTATTGTTACTTATTTCAATTGCTTGAATCGTTTTTGATTACAGCTGCCCAGGAGACACTTGGCTCATCTGATTAAAGCCTCTGCCTCTGCCCCACTTGATTAAAGTTACAGTTAAAGTTAAAGTTGCATTAAGCTGTTCCAAATATTGAGTGAAAATAATGCTCATAATTAATTGTTCAATTAGGAATCCAAATTATCTCTTGTGTGACTGGCTCGCCTCAATATCTGGCAAATCTTTAAACCCTTCGCAAAAATCTCAAGTGGCTGCCATTTAAAATGCCATTCGCCATTTTGTTGCTACTCCAACTCCAGCAACTGCTGCTGCTGCTGCTGCTTGAACAATAACAAAACTTCCCCAATGAGAACGCTGTTCTTCACCCAAACAAGCCCCAACCCCCAATTACCCCCCTCCCCGTGCCCCCTAAATTGAGCACACACCCAAAACACCCCTTTAATTATGATTCAGTGCACACAAACTTTTGTTGCGTGCCTTACGCTTTGTGCTTTGTTGTCCTTGTTGCTGTTGTCGCTGTTGTTGCTGTTGTTGCTGTTGTTGTTGTTGTCCTTTTGTGCTAACTTTTCAATTCCTAATTATAATTAGAGAATCGGTTGTGTTCATAAATATTAAAAAGGGTCGCTACTCCTACGTACATAGATATATGTCTATGTGTGTGTGTGTGTGTATGCATGCCACATACACACATACATACATACACAGCACCCACAGTGCTTCACTTGCCTCTTGTTGTTGTTGTTGCTGTTGTTGTTAGTCGACTGCTGGCAGCGACATTGCATGAATAATTAACTCAAGTCCTTAAGGGCCACCACGAGCCCCTTCTTCCATTCCACAGCTGGGCGGCCCCCATTTGCCATGCGCCATCTTGTTTGGCAAGCACAGCAACAGTAACAACAACTACAACAACAACATCTACAATAGCAACAATGTTTCACAAGATGTGCGGCGGCGACATGTCATGAATTTACTTATGAACATTTGCATTTTTAATGTAATTTGTGCGATGCGCTCGAGTTCGATGTATTCAAATTCTTCCAAGTAACTGTAACTACGTCTAGCATAATTTTAAAGTATTTCCAAAGGCAGTTAAGTAAATGTTCAGGTGTTTTCGAGGTGTGTTTTTCAAAGTTTAATCCCAGCTTTGAAAATGTAACGTTATAAAGTTTGAAACATTAGTTTTGACCAGTTACTCTCAAACTTTAATGTTTAAGTGAGTGCACAAACCGTGTAGTTTTCAATTTAGCAAGTCCACAAGCCACGACAGTTTTCGTTAAATTGATATAACAGTTTAGGCGCAAACCTATACCGTAATACTCAGCCTAGTTCACTGCCATAGTAGAGACTTTAACCATTAGATTTTCGTTAAGTTACCAGTATAAAAGCCGAGATAATAACCGTAGCACTATTATTGTATCACAGTTAAGACACAACCCTTTCAAATGCAGGGATCGTTGAGAAGCTTGAAACCTTGCTGTTTTCGTTAAGCGCAGAAGCAAACTTATTTAGTGGCTTCACGAACCTTAACTTCAAAATTGGTTTGTATTACTATAAAATTGTTAAACTGTTATTCGAATTAAATTTATCAGTTCATTTTAAAAACCATACTTGTTCCGACTATTTAATTATTTTTTGTACTTTTATTAATTCGCGTTAATAAACTGTAAGTATCTATGTGTATAAAATAGAATTAACCAGATTCAAAATTCTTCATGGCCATAAAATTAAAAAACAGCTTCTCAAATTCACTCGACTGGAGTGATAAGTAGGCTAACAGACAACCCTAAAATACACACCTATTGGTCTTTTTTGTTGTTGTACGTGTGTGTGTGTGTGTAAGCATGTGTCTATATGTACATAAATTAACAATATTTCGCAACAGCTACAACTAAATATTAGTTAAATCTTAGTGCAACTAGGCTATTTACAATTTCACAACTAGATTCCGTTTTGGCCATTAGGCCAACAGTGGCGCACTGCAGCCGTTGTTCAAGCGGTACTCGGCATAGACGATGCCAGTGTTGTGCCAGTGATAAAAGGCGGCCACAATGATCAGATGCCACCAATTATGCGAGTGGCCCACAAAGCACACTTTGCCCGTTAGCCAACGCTCGGGTATCTTGCCCGCATAGAAAACGAACGCGACTAAACACAGCAAATACATGACAACAATCCGTGGCACCATCAGACCAACCAGCTCGTTCTCCAGTCCACCCATCGCAACTGCCCAGTGGCCCAACGGCAAAATGCCATACGCTGACCAGAGCAGCAGCACAGCCACCTTGCCATTCATCGTCACATTCAACTGAGGTATTTGCACAGCGATGGCCAGGCCGAACATGCCCAGCGCAATTGTAGAGTACAGGGTACGCAGAAACTAAAAAAAAATAACATATATACAGTTAGTTATGGGTTCAAGATTCAGTTCAATCGCTTCATTATTCATAGAGTATATTTCTAAAAACTTGACTTTGGCTGTTCTTAATTTAACGGTAAATTTTCTAATTTTCAATGTGATTTTTCATATGTGTACAAACAAACTTGAAATTGGCTTTGTTGTTGCTTATTTCACTAATAAACATTAACATTTTAACATATAAAAATATTTAAAATAGTTTTGATATGCATATAATTTAACTTAGAAATGTACAATTCGAATAAAAACAAACCAAGCCAGTAAATTCTAATACTTGTTTCTGAATTTTAGAAAAGATTTCCAAAAATGGTTTTCGTAAGAATACAAAATATGATTCTGAATGAATGATTCATGAATGCTGCATTTTTAGGTATTCTTCTACTCATATTTATATATTGTTTGTACTTAAATTGAGTATAACCGGCTTGAACTACGAGTGCATTCACATACCGTATGACACCAGAAGGCGTAGTACATGCCACTAATGTAGATGGCAACCAAGGACAGGGAGATGCCCAGAAAGTCGACCGATAGAAATAGCTCATAGTGCTCCTCGGATCGGCAGGAGAATATATGGTATATGGCCGACATCAGCATGCAGAGGCAGAAGCACACGAGCAAACAGACGACAAGCACCTGATCAGTGAATTCGGCATGTTGGCGCAGAAATTGCAAATCAAATATGGTCAGACCAATGAAGAGTATACAGCCAGCCAGATGACTCCAGATATTGACCTGACAAATAGATATAGACATGGATATAGATGTTTGTAATAATAATATTATATTAGATATATTCTGCTCACCGTTTCGTTGGTCCACCAAAAAATGCTCTGCAGGCACAGTTTGTTGGAGAGGAATGTGCGATAGCCGCGACGAATATACGGATTGAACTTCAAATGGTTGGGCGCCTATAATTCAAATATAAAAAGATACAGATACAGAGTAGAAGCAAGAGCCAACAGCACTTTGTTTTTTAAGGTATTACATGGCCAGGCCAAACATCGAATGCATTTCGAATGAGCAGCATTGAAAATTGTTAGCAAAAAACAAAAACAAAAACAAAAAACAAAAAAAAAAACAAATTGCAGACAAAGCCAGAAAGCAGCCTTTGCCACATTGGCCACGTGCCAAAATGTAAATGGCCAAATGGTTTCAGTTACGCAAATAACACAAAATAATTAAATAAACTCAATTGTTATTGCTAGCTTGATGCGTTTTTTGCAGCAAATTTTGAAGAGGTTAAGCTAAGCGATATATTTGACATATTCTACATTTTCAATCTATAAATTTATTAAATATAGATATATAGAAATGAGATCTTACTTTAACAAACTGCATTTGTACTCGATAATTTAAAAAGTGTTGAGGAATTGGAATGTATATATAGATATATATTTACAATTAAATACATATATATACATATATATGTGCATGTGTATAAGAGTGTGGGTGTGTCTGTCACATGTGAATATAAAATGTTCTTCCGTATTTCTCAAATGATCTTGATGCAATATTTACAGCTGGCAAGGCATATATGAATATAACTGAGTAGAAAAATAAAAAATTATAATTGTGATTTTTCACTACTTTGGTTAATCGATTCTTATCGCGGGCAGTTATCGATCAAATTAAATAAATTTAACTTATATTCCCAATTTAAAATCTCCTGCATCCATAGCCTTTTCGATCGTCTTATTTATGCAGACGGACAGACGGAGATGGCTAAATGGAGTCTCCTCTTAATGCTGATTAAGAATATATATATTTTATGGTCACGGAGATGCTTTCATGTATCTGTTAAACGCCCTTCTTAAATACTTTTAATGGATTCAGGGCATAAAAAGAATTATGATTAAGTATTTCACTCAAGAGAAGCAATACTCCGATTAAGTATACATAATATATAGATTTTAATATTGCCCAGATCTCTCAGTTTGAAGAGCAGTACTTTGAAATGGCAGCGTCTTATTTTGTTGAGCTGGGCGCGTTTTTCTCTATCTTTTCTCTTTTGTTTTTGTTGTTGTTGTTGTTGTTGTTGCTTTTGGTTAATAATAAAATCGACCTTGATTTAGTTCGTAGCGACTTTTGTTGTTATTTGTGTAATTTTATTGTTGTTGTTGCTGTTTTGGCTGTGTGGCTTTCGTGCCTATTTGTATTATGGGCCATTTGGCAATTGTTGCCACGTTTTGCATTTTTCGGCGTTTTGGGCATTTACAACACGCACTCGCAAACAATTTATGCACACACCAAAAAAAGATACATTTGTATCTGTGCATCCACACATGGTGGCCAGCAGCATTGACAATAAAACACAACAATTTAAAACATGTAAATTGAATGTCCAAAATGATGAGAGAGAAATAAGAAGGTTTTTTGCTCGACTCTTGGCCTTTTTTGATTAACTGTAACTGTGAACAGGGGCGTGGAGGACACAAAACACAAATTGTTAATTTGCCAAAAAAAGAAGAAAAAAAAAACACAAATTGCGCTCAATTAAAAACGGCGACAATTGGCGTTGAAATTGTTAGATTGATATTTATGCACAAATGAGATATATGTATCTCATATATATATATATATATATATATATATATATATATATCTATATAAAATAAATATTTAACTTTGTATATTATTTTTATGTTATATATGTTAGTATTCTGTAACATTCTTGTATTTTGTTGTTCGCAGAAATTCAACGAATTAAGTAAAAAAATCCGTTAAAAAATGTTCCAAATTTGAGGTCATGGTTTGTTTTGGTTTTGGGAGTATTATATTATCTATATTATTATATATTATATATAGAAATTCTCGTAATAAAATAATGAAAATACGCCAAGATATGTTAACAATTCTAGGTCAAGAATTTTATGTATTTTTTTTTATTTCTACTCACATCATCAAAGTTGCAGAGCCATTGAAATTTGGATAGTTTACCATCGAAATCTGGGCCATGTCCCAGCACATTGGGCTCCTCATTAGCCGGAAACTGATGCGAGGCGTCCGTAGTTAGTTCCGTAGTTAGTTGACCATCGAGCTAAAAACCAAAAAAAAAAAGAGTAAAGTATTTGAAAAAGATATTTCAAGTTATCGACTGACTAGCAGCGGTTCAAAGTTAAAACTAAAACAACTCGCATAAAAATCATTTGCATTTTTGAGTTTTACTTCCGCAGTTTAACTAGCACAAGTTGGCTTTTTTGCTATTGCATTGATGGCTAATTCTAAATGCTGTTTATGACTGTCTGTAAGTATTGAATATATGAAAAACAATAACAACAACAACTTGGGGGCTTGACTTTAATTTGTTTACCCAGTTTCTAATGCATAATAGCAGAAATAACAACAACAACAATTATCACATTACAACTGTCATACTACACGCGTTTGTGCATGTGTGTGCATGTGTGTGTGTGTGTGTGAGAGAGTGCTTTTCTTTGTTTGTGCTGTGTTGTGTGTGTGTGTGTTTACTCCAACAGGTTTGATGACGTTTTGTTTACATTTGCACGATTCGGTTGTTGTTGCATTCTTGAAATGCTTTTGGAAAGCTTTTTATGCACTTGCTGTTGTTTATCATTATTATTATTGCTTATGCGTAAGTTGAGCGCCTGTAAAGCTGTTGAGATTTACAGCCAATGAGAAATGTTAGTACACACTACTTTCTGACTAAACGAATAAATGATCGATATGAGAGTAAATAACTAAGACAATTCTGTATGTTCATTTTTATGAGCATAACATAAAAAAGTGCATTTAAGAAAGTATTAAAATTAATTTAACTAATACACTGCAATAATGTTATAAATTTCATTTTTATAGTTTTTGCACTTTGCTAATACTATTCACGTAGCTTTTGACTAACTGGTCGAATAAATGTTGAAATCTGTATTATGTTATTAAAGAAAACTATGAAATAAACAATTAAAACAATTCCAGCAGTTGATTTTTAGAGGCAAACAAACAAATGCAGTATTTGCTACAACTATTAACATACATGTTATAATTTCAGACTTTAACTTTTGGGTAATGAGTTGCAATAACATTTTGTTGCGGGTGCATTTTGATTTTCTCAGGTAAACAAAGGCGTAAGAGGAGCCAGCGAGCAGCTGATTGAGCAGCTACGCAAGAGTGCAATTATCAAATATTTTAACAGATGCAGCGCAAAAAAAAACCATATATGAAAAATATTGCGAAAACGAAAAAAATTAAAATCGATGCATTACAAGGCATTATTGACAGGGGTTAAATAGAGAACAAAAATGGCAAGTCATCGATCAACAGGATGCGCCGTCAATTTACACATTGACGCAAATACATCGTTTCGTAATAGTTTTACACTAGTTGAACATTTTTTGATTCTTTTTTTTTAAAATATTTTTTCTTACATTTTTTATTTTCTTTTTGCTGGTGTCGTTGTTCCGCTTTAATTCCTGTGTAGTTGTTGTTGTTGTTACAACTGTGGTTTCCATATTCAAATATTATTTTTGAATATGATCACAATTGCTCAATCACTTGTTTTATGTTATAATATCACAAGTTTTTATTGTTATTTTTGTATTGCGTTTGGAAAAGCTTAAATTTCGCAACTGTCAAAATTACAATTTGATATTTTTCAACTTGATTGACACTTTTTGAAACTGGCAACGGTTCAGCAACCGCTTCGTTGAAAAACTTGAACGAAACTAAAATCAAAACCAAAGCGAATGCCAATTTTTAGCCTACCAAAAGCGTCACACGAAAGCTTTCAGCTGAGAGGGAGATAGCGAGCGCCAGAGAGAGTCCGTGAGGAAAAAGCTCAAATTGAGCAACTCTTCGAATTGAGAAAGAAAATTACGCGCGAATTTCATTCAGCCGGCTTTAGCTTTCATTTCGCTTGTTCAAGTTTTTTTTTGTTGATCGAAGCCATAATGATTGTGGAACCAGCCTCCCAAATTATATAACAGTAACAACAACAACGCTGAGAACTGCTGAAAAATTGCAACAGTTTCGAATTGTCTTGGCCAAGAGAAATAAAATCAAAATGGAAAAACCGAAACCAGTTTCAAGTTCGAATCGACAGCTGAACTTCAGGAATTCCGCGTGAGTGGAACTTTCGCAATGCCCTCAAGCCACACAAATACACATAAGCACACTGAGAAAAATGTACTACTTACATATAAAAAGTTCAACTGATCTTAGAAGATTTGCAATGCCTGTTAAACAACTGCTTTATTTTATTATTTAAATTTATAGAGCAAAAGCATGCATTACTTGATATCTTAATTAAGCGTACTTGTTTAAAGAACTGTTTCATTTAACTTAAGCTCGCTGAAGCCTCACTTACTTACAAAAAACGATCTTGAAATTGAAACTCTACCTCTTTTTCTCTCGCTGTACATATGTATTAAATTTGTTGTTGGTAAATACACAAACGCTTACATAATGGCAACAACAACAACAAATGCAAGCCACAAGCTAGACAACAAGCCATGATAATAATAATAATAAAAATGAAAAGCAGCCAATTCGACCTTGACTTCATTTGCAAGCTCAACTTGTGCAGTTAAGTTTTATCTCTTCGTTAAGCTGTCTCCCTCTTCCCTTTCTCTCTCTCTCCCTCTCTCCTTGAGCAGTCCGCTTTGGTCGCCAATTCGCCATTTGCTGGTCAGATTAGATCAGATCAGATTCTGATCAGTCATGATTAGCTCCTATCAGCTGTTCTTTACTTCTCTTCGTGCTTTTCTTCTTCTTCTCCACTTACCCAGCACCTGTTATCAGCATCATCATCCTTTCCCACTCGTCGCTGGTGATTGTAGCTCAGTTCACAGTCGTCGAGAATTTCGGCTGCCACCAGACTCTCATGCGGACGTGGACTCATCTTGGTGGAAAGCTAAGCGGACACAATGCAAAAAAAAATTAAATAGGAGATGCAGAACAGTTATTTGTTATTTTATTTATTGTGTATTTTATTTAGTTTTTATTAATTTATTGTTGTATTCTTATTATTTCTTTTTCGCTATTATTCTTATTATAACGGAAATAAATGATCAACAAAATGTATACAAACATACAAAAATTGATTAATTAATATTAAATGCCGAATTCTTTTTAATGAATACGTCGCGAAAATCAGCAAACGAGTTATTTATAACACATATTTTGCATTGGTAATTAATTGACTATTTAAAAAAGTAAAAGGAATAAATAAATCATTTAAGTTTTATAATTACGTTATCGTATTTTCAAGCAATATTATTATTTTTCCAATGTTTCTTTAAAACACAAAAGCCAATTTCAAAAAGGCTTTGACTGCAATCTAATATAATATATGTAATAAATAATAAATAATTGTTTAAATCAATAGATCTCAATGATTTTTGTAACTAGGTCGAAATGGCCCAACTAACTGTAAAAATAAGAGGAAAACCTTAGACTAAGAAAATATTTATTTTTCTCAATTAAATCAGAAAATATATTTTAATTGCCTTTGTCAAAATAATTAATTGACCTACTGTATGTGTATACATATTTCTAAAGGTTGAATTCCGAATTAAAAATCCAAATAATAAATAAAAACAAAGTTAAATTAATAATTTAATTAAATTAATTTCTTTCCTCTCAAGGGCCTTTATATCGAATGACTACTATACTTGATATTAGTGCTCTAAAACTGGCTTGGATACCGGCTGCTTATGCGATCCCCTGTCTCCCCTTCTTCCTTTCTTCTCCATTACCGTCACCATTTGCAAAAGAGTGCGAAAATTGAGGCCGGCGTCTAAACAAAAAACGTTTTAGAGATGCTAACTGAATCTAAAAAGACAGCCGATCTGTAAACCCAATCAGCAAACTGAATGAGGGAAAAGTTGAAGGGGAAATGGAGACAGTGGAAGAAAGCGCTTTGAATTATTTCACAGCTGTTTAAATAGCTCAAATGCAACTGTTCTATGTACATTGAGAGAAACAAATAAGAAACACACGCGATTTTTAGCTATGGGTCATTAAATGGTTGTTGCTGCCTTCAAAATTGCCACACGTGAGAAATGAAATTTCTCCTCATTTGTTGGAAGAGATTCGTTTGCATAATCAAAATCTTTATTTAGAAATTTTTTTATGTGTATCTCAGGCACGTGCGAATATTCACAATCTGTAACCGTTGATTTTTGAGACACTTTAATTGGTTTTGATTTGATGTATGATTGTTATACATATATATACATATGATGTATGTTAACATACTCAATGTTCTGGCGAACGAACGAAGATTTCACTCGGGCGAAATCTCACTCGCGACACAGCTAAAAGTCAACTGAAGACTGCAGCAGGCAACGTCAACTGGGGCAACATACAGCTCGCCAAAAAAAAAATACAAAAAAAAGATTGGGCCCTCAAAAACTTAACACCAGTCTCTGGCAGAAAGCGACAAACGCAGAGAGAGAGAGAGAGAGCTTCACAAAAAGAGAGCGAGCAACACAAAGAGAGCGCGAGCAAAACAGAGATAGAGCGATCGAGCGAGAGTAACGGCAAGAAAAAACAAAAAAAGCACAACTGCGCTCGTTTGATACCCAGCAGCGAACTTGTGAATGACACTTAACATGACCGAATGCATTCCATGTGCATTAATTAACTAACTGGTAATGCTCTTGCGTGCAGAGTCGGAAACGGGAGTTTCTAAGTCAAACACAAACTTGTCTTCGCGATAGCTTCAGCAACAGAAACCACAAGAAGTGCCTACATTAAATACATATATTTAAAATTGTTATATTTTCTAAAACAAAACAACAAATTGTATATACAGTAATCTTTATATATTTTGAATATGGAAAGAATAAGTAAAGATAAGGAATGAAATTCGTAATAAGCTTTTTTCGCTGCTGGGCAGTAACAACGAGAACAACAACAACACAGATCACATCTGCGCTTGATCATTGGTTGACAGTGTGAACAGAGAGCAGAGACTGGCTAGCAGAGAGAGAGAGCAGAGAGCCGCGCGCCCATTTCAAATATCCGTATTTCGTTCAGCTGAAAGCAAAAGAACGTGACACCGCGCGACGTCACAATTAGAAACTTTTCTATTCTATTCTCTTCTATGAGTTTGTGCAAAAATTTTCCGTCTGTTGGAAAACATTATAAAATTTATATATGTATGCTGATCAATGCATTTTATTTGCATTTGCTAAATGCTTAAGCAAAATTCGATTTCTTTTTTGCAAATGGTGATGATTTGTTCAGGTTTTAAAATATTCCATTTTGATTTGTTTCCGCATGCATTTTATGTAGTCTGAACAAAATTTATATAATTATCACATTAATCCAAAGTACTCAAAATAGTATACACAATTTGTTGCTTAGTCTAATCTACAATATATATTTCAATTGTGACGTAACGCCAAAAGAGAACATAAAAGTTTTGCTTATTCCGCCATCTTACCTTAATATGAAACTGCTAAAAAAAAGGCAGGCGCCAAAAAAAGCTTTGCAAAAAAGTTTGGCGCGCACGACGCAGTCGACGTCGACATCGTTGCCGTCGTCAACGACGGCTTTGGCGCATATTTGTAGCTGTTTATTAATTGAGTCTCCGAATTGATTAAATGTTTATTTAACGTGCTGTGCCTGTTGCCAGCTTCTGGAAGCGCACACAATTCATGTATGCGTGTGCGTGTGTGTGCTAAGTGTTGCTCTTTCTTTCTGTCACTTCTTGCTACGATATTCGCCACGATACGAATATCGTATGCCCTTCACATTGACCGATTTTCCGTATTTCGCTTTCGCCTCTGCAGCTGTTGTTCAATTCTCATGGCCCTTCTGCTCTTTCTTATTCTTTTCTTCTTACATCGAAAATGTATTTATGTAAATGTATTTTGTCTGAGTACAGCTAATTCAAAGAAATAAATTCAAATGTAAACATGTAAAATTAATTGCAATGCTTACCTTGAGCAACTTGTGAAATAACATCCGTGTTTACTAAAAAACGATCTCTAGAAATGTGCTTATATTTCCTAATATTTAGTAAATTAAAGCGTTAGCCAATAATATTATTTTTGTTGTTCAAGATTTTTGTTTAGTTGTCTAAAAAACAATAATGCACATAATGCTAAATGTATTTTTAAATAAACAATCGATACTTATCGATACAATTAAAAATTGGAAATATGTTAATCGAATAGAAGTAATCTGTGAATTGATGCCAATAGATACAACCGAAAATTGAAGACTTAATAATCAAATACTTATCGATACAATCGAAAGTGATACATTAAATAATCGAAATGAGGCGATTTATATATCGATACATATCGATAAAAGTATAACTCTCTAATCGAGGTCGTTTTCTATCGATATTTATCGAAAATTGTAATTGATTAATAATCGAATGGAGAGAATCTCTTCGTAGATACTTACGATACATTCTCAAAATCGATACAATCAAAATCTCATCAAATCACTTGGCAACAACTCATCAGTTAAGTATTACCATATATAGATATTTATTTAAATATATCTTAGAACAAACCATGCAAAACTGAGCTTATTATGAACAACTTGTTTGCTCTTCCAGATAACTTAACAACACCCAGCAATTATTGCACGAACTTATCAGTCTAATTGGGCAGCCCTAAACGTATATCTCGTTTTTCTCGTTCTTATTTCTTTATACGAGAGCAGGCAACAAATTGTACGCAAATCTAAATCAAAGTCATTTTCATAACGGTTTTCTATATTATTTATCAGAGAATCAAATTTGAACTGCACTGTTAACCAAAATTGACATTCCTCGGCAGGAAATTAAACAGGAACCGTTAATCAAAATTAACCGATTGAAGCTGAGAGCTGTGACAGTAAATCAAAGAGGAACCGCAAATGTTAACCGAGTAAAACTCAGCCTAGACCATGTCCCAATTGTCTGACAGAAACCGGTAATGTTAACTGATTGTAGGTAAGAAACTGAACCATTAACTACAGGAACCGTAAAAGTTAACAGATTGAAGCTGAACCGATTTTCGAAATATTTGCTTATAAAACAACGAATTCAAATCGGATAAAATCTAAGCTAGAATTAATTTACCTAAAAATTCAAAACGCAACTTACAGCTCTTACCCTCATTTTTCTTCTTCTTCTTCCGGGTTGCCCTACATAAACCAAAAATCCATTTGTTCATTTTGTGCAGTTTTTTTTTGATTTTTTTTGTTGTTGTCGAGTTATAAATGAAAAGCGAGAGAAAATCGCTTTGTTTAGTTTTGAACGCAGAATTTCAATTCATTTAATTTTTTAATTATAAATGTAATAATAATAAGAGGGAGGCTGAGAATGGGGGGCGTGGCATAATTCGCGTTTCCACAGAGAGAAAATTGAATTTTTGTAATTTTTATTTTTCCGGTTCATTTTTAAATATAATATAATAATAATAATTTTTCCAGCTGATCTTTATTTGTAGTTGTTGTTTGTTTGTATTTTTTTTGTTTGTTTAAACTTATTATGTGTTGTGTGTGTGTGTGTGTGTGTGTGTGTGTTTGTGTGTGTATGTGTGTGTGTGTGTTTGTGTTGTGGGATGCTGTGTTGTTGTTTAGCTCTCGCTTTAAATGTTTTTATGCTTACATAATGTGTTTGTTTTTTGCTTTTCTTTCTTTTTTTCTGGTTTCAGTTGAATTATTATTAAATTATTTATTTGCTCATTCTTTCTCTTCTTCTTACACAGGCTCAAATAAAAAAACTTGATGCCAATTTTTGACAGTTGCTGTTAATGTTAATGTTACTGCTGCTGTTGTTGTTGCTGTTGTTGATGCTGCTGTTGTTGTTGTTCCTGTTACTTTTGCTGCTGCTGTTATTGTTGTTGCTGCTGTTGTTGGTACTTTGCCTCCGTTCCACTCGTGGCTGCAGCAGCTCCATTTGCTGATATTGTTGTTGTCGTTCGAATTGGGAGCTGATGTTGTTATTGTTGTAACTATTGTTAAATGTTAGCTTTGCTGTTGTTGCTTCTGCATCTGCTGCTGTTGTTGTTGTAGAATTTAACATGGCTGTTAATTTTGTTGATTTTAACATTGATGTTATTGTTACTGTTGTTGTTGCTGCTAATTTTGTTGGTGTTGGACTGTAATTGTTGCTGTTGTTGTTTATTTTTTTGTTGTTGTTGCTGCAATCTGGAACGCATCACATAGCATACTTTCTAGTCCATTCCCGTGCCAGCTCATTATATTTTTCCCGATCGGTCTTATATATTCTGGCAATCTCTGGAACAAGCGGATCATCTGGATTGGGATCACAGAGTAGAGAGCAAATTGATAATAAGACTGAAAAATAGAAATAGAAAACAGATTAGCCATACAAGTATATATATACATTAATTATATAATAATATATGTTTGAATTTACCTTTTGAAATAGTTAATGCTGGCGACCACTGAGATCTTAATATATCGAGGCAAATCGATCCATTGCTGTTAATGTTTGGATGGTATATGCGTGTTGTAAAGGCCACTTTTGGCGGCTTAAAGGGATAGTCTGTTGGGAAATGTATAGTTAAGAAAAATACACCTCCTTGGTAAGGGCTGTCCGGCTGTAAATAGTCCATCAAATACATATAACCAGTTAATACAGATATAAAGAATATAAAGAATATATATATATATATATATATATATATATATATATATATAGAAAAAATAGAAAATATATTTATATTTACAGCTAACTAAAATAAAGTAAATATTATTCAAGTTAATACAAATAAAAAATAAGGTTTAGGTAATTAAAATAAAATAAATATACAATTAACAATATATAGTTAACAAAATTGTAAAAAAAATATGTATAAACAATAAAATAGGTAATAAAATTAAAAACAGATATAAATATATACAGTTACAAATATATAAAGCTAATAAAAATAAAAAATACATTGAAACAAAAGTCTGCATTTGCGTTGGATAAGTTCAAGGCGAGTCACTGAAAAATAGATTCTATTTTTGCTCGGTTTGAAATAAATCTTGATAATGATTATGAAGTACAAATGTTCCCATTATATATATTATATCAGAAAAGGTGGGTACCCCTTCCTAATGTTGTATATATGTCATTCAACAGATATATTTTTATGGCAGAAAAAAATAATACAAGATTTTTGTTGCTTGGAGAAATCTAAAGAATGTTTATGGAATATATATAGCATTTGCCAGCTATATATACCCGAAAAATATAGTGGTATTTGATAAATATACCCAGAAATATACCTTTATTACAGAGAGAACTAATAAGATATTTCGTGTTTGGAACAACACCGAGGAACGATTTTCGAATACATCTGACATTTAACAGATTTACCCTTGACAGACAGACAGACATTATCTATAATAGATACAACAAGGATTTGAAAACAAGACTCTAGTTTTGGGTTTAAATTTGAAGCAACATATTGCTTAGAATGATACTTTGTATATGTAAAGTATCCATATATGATATATATTCAAAGAGATATATGAGTCAGATACATTTATGATATATAAAGGATAGTTTAAATCTATCAGAAGCATTTACCACTTTATCCATATACTACAATATACATAACAAGACTAAATCAAGACTCAAATCAAGTCAGAAACAGTTTTAAATATTCTTTGCTCTTAAAGCTGTTAAACTTAAAAACTAAGGGGCAAAAGAGTTCCATTTTCTCCAAATACATTGATCAAATATTAATCAATTTCAAAATACGAAATCCTTAGCAAAAGCAACTTTCTGGAAAACAGTTTAAAGTTGGAATTGGAGTCAAAATTCTAACTGGAACCAGTTAGCTATCGATCTAACGGAACCAACAGCACGAACCAGTTGCGATCCTTTTCAACCAAAAAAGCTCTGAGGTATCGATGCTGCCTAATGAGAAGAGTTGACCAATCGAGAATCGATACTTGCTCGGCCTAAAATGTTATTGACACGCAGCAGTTCATCCCAAGGTTAATAATCCCTTCCTTTTCGCACACACGCGTTGAGCTCTCGCCGCTGAACTTATCCAACAACAACAGATGTTAGTGTCCAGTGTAGGATAACAGTGCAAAAAAAAGACAGCTGTTCTTCTTACCGGGCCCATTATTGTAGCTTGCCAGTGAAATACTGTAAATAAAAGAAAGAATTGTATTAATATATATAGTTACAATTGATTGTAAATTATTTGATATTTGATGAATTATTGCAGTTTGGCCACATGTAATGCGCCACTCGGGAATACTTTAAAGCTGACTTAAGATAAATCAGTGAAAAAAAAAAAAAAAAAATGCATTGAGAGCGCCTCTCTCTGCTTCTTTCTTTGCACGCTCTTTCGTCGCGGCTGCTGCTTCTTCTCCCATGGCTCTCGATTACTTTACTGCAGACTCAACTCAATTTGGCTCGCCCCAAAGCGCCCTCTACCGGCCTGCCCTCTTCGAGTGTGCACGAAAAGAACAAAAACAAACAACAATTGCCAAAGAGCCTTGGCACCGACTCTTGGCAGCGAAGCCGCAGCTGACGTCGTCGTCGTTGACAGGCGGTAGCTAAAGCAGCAGTAGCAGTAGTACCACCACTTGCCTAGCATGCCATCTCGCTTGTGCACGTTATGCATACGACACATTCTGTTAGCTCTACTCGCTTACGCTCAATGTCACCAAAGCACACGCACACAAAGGCACATAGAAGCAGCAGCAAAGCTCTTTTTGGGGCTGAGAACTGGGCCGTGCACAGCGAGCGAAGGAAGGAAAGAAGGAGAGGAAGGGAGCAGCTTACGCTCTATGCTTATGCGTATGTGTGTGTTCGCGTGTGTGTGTGTGTGTGTGTACATTACAATTACTGTAATTTCATTTATAGCAGAACAGAAGTTTTGAGAAACCACACAAAAAAAAAAAAAAAACCGACTCCAACTGAATTTGAGTTTTTTTTTTAGCTTATCGGCAATAAATTATGGGAGGCGGTGGCGACTAATGAGTTTTAATTACAATTCGAAATGTAGTAATATATGTATATATATAATTTATATTTAGTTTCTTTGTTTGGAATAGCCACGTAATTTCTTTCGAGGTGTGTGTGTTAACTTCATTCATAGCTGATAAGCACTAAAATCGTTGCTCTGATAAGAAAAAAAAGCCCTGCACAAAAAAATACAGCGGAAACTGATAAATATGAATACACTGCCATACACACACCCTCACACACACAGATATATATATATATACATATAGAATAGGTTATCTCATTATCTGCGCTATATTTGCTAATTATTCTCTGATTACGTTATGTGGAGCAAAATTCTTAATGCGGCTTTAATTTGATTTATATTTGTATAAGATAAACGACGAGAAAGAGAGCGAGTAGAGAATATAGAGGAACGATCTGCTTTCTCTTTCCAACTTGTTTTACAAATAATAAAGTACTCTTTTCAGAAATCTATAATTTCTTTTACCGTATATAAAAATGTAGTTTAAAAAAAGAATCTTTCAGATATAAAAAAATATCTACGAAGTATATAATATAATATATATATATATAATATATCTTATATTGTCACATTTCTACTAAAGTAGATAATATTTTGTTATATTTGAAGGATTTTATTTATAGTTTTATCTACTAAGCAGCTAATATTTTTATTTATTTTTCCATGACCAAATGGCGACCAAACTAAATGTGATTAATGCGTTTTGTAATCGATTCCATTGCAATTGCACTTATCAAAAAGTGAACAACATACAAAATAATCACAATTTTACTATCGTTGAATTTCTCCAATGAATAATTGGTTCTTATCTAATCAATTCTCGACTTGCAATGTAGACATCAGCTGATCGTAAATGTAATGGACACATAATATAGAAATAAAGTCAGCTAACTCAACAACCCATATACAAATTTAAACAAATAAATCATTATCTTTCAAGTTCAGCCTAGAATTGCAAAAGAAATTCTTGGAAATAAAAAAAACTTCCACTGGAATATTTAAATGTCGATCTGTGGTTTTATCGGTATGCACTTATCGATGTCATTGATTGCTTATTACTCACAAGTGTGACCAAAACAGAAACAAAAAATAAATAAAAAAAACAACAACTTCAATTGCACGATTTCACTTTTCAGTGACGTCATTTAGGTGACCTCCATAGCAAAAAGCGAAGCTGGCTTAAAAAGCACACAAAGTTGACCCATGTGTGTGTGCGATTAACAGTTAAATGAAAACACGTTAACGTGTAAGTGAAGTTGTTGCAAGTTTGTTGAGCGTGCAACACAAAACGAAACCAAAAAATCCGATTAAAGTGATTTTCCAATAAAGCTAATCGATGATAAGGAAAGTAATTTGCAAACAAATTTCCATTACTGGAAAAAGTTCAATTTTCCAAATGCGTGCAAAGTGCCGAGTCACTGCAAGGCAAAGCAGCAGATCAAAAGCTAAATGAGATGTGTCTGCTCTATTTATAGAAAGCTCTGCGAGAGCAGAGTGAAAGAGAGAGCAGAGGGGAGAGAAGAGAGGGCATTACTCGAGTCGTAGGTCGTCACATAGTTACATAATGCAAAAAGAGAAGCTGATAAGAAGAAGCAGAAGATCGATGGAATGGTTAATGGGGGGAGGGAGAGAGAGAGAGAGAGGCGGCGTGTGTTTATAGTGTTGTATTTTTGAAAACGTGCCATTAAATGTTCTACTCACAATCATCTCCAACTGGTCCAGCTGAACATTGTGCAGGTGGATCTCTGCCCAGATCTTGCAGTTCCTTTAAATATAAAAAATGACATCAATTAATTATAATTATTATTTTTATTATTGTCATTTATATTATTATTATTTGTATTGTAGTATTATTGTAGTGACAAAAACACAACAAAAGTTTCTCTCGCGTTTTGCTCTTTTTATATGTAAAATATAAATTTGCATATTTTTATTCATGTTGTGCATCACGTTGCAAATGTGATTTCATTTTATTTCATTTGGATACATCTCAAATTTAAAAACAGATATATGAATATTTCGTATTTCGCATATATGAAAAATAAAAGCAGGCAGCAGCAAATGCGAATGACGCGAAAATCAAGTTCGTTGGCCCGAACCAGAAGCCAGCAGCAGCAGCAGAAGGCGCATACACTACACACACATACATACGTACACATGCAAGCTTATTCTCTCTCACACTCCCCTCCCCCTCTTCTATAACAGTCGCACGCACACAGCTGAGCGGCTGCTGTTATTCTCGCCTCCCCTCTCCCTATTTGTATGTAACGATGCTCCAACCCCAACAGCAGCACAGCTGCCAGCCAGCCAACATGGGCAACAAAATAGGTGTAAAGTAAACCGGCGAAAAACAGAGAGAACAAAAACTTAAAAAAAAAAAAGATGAGCTCAATGCGGGAAGAGGAACAGTGTTGCCAGATATATAAATTCCCAAGTAAAAACGAAATTGCTAGAAAAAGCTAAATATTAAATATTATAACTAGAATTTTCGTTCAATCGCTTTAAATATTTTATTTTATTTCATACTAATAGAGAACAAATTAAAACAAAAGAGATGAGCTCAATGCGGAGTGTTTGCAAGAATGATAAATTCTAAAACCAAAATAAATAGCTGGAAAACGCAAAAAAAAAAAATATATATATAGAGCGAAAGTAAGCAATAAAGGACTAACACTTTTTAACAAATAGAATTTATATTAAAATGGTTCAACATTCAGCTCTTAAAACAGTTAAGAACTGTTTGGCTAGCATTTCAGGTATTCCACCAAAGCTAAAACTATTTTATTTTATTTAGATTGTCCGACTAATAAAACTATTTCATAAAATTTGTCAACGTTTCAGCTCTAAAAAAAAAGCTAGAATTTCAACTCCAAAAATAGCAACACTGGTTTTGCGGAAGCTAGCTAAACGAGAGCCTTGACACAAAATATACTAAAGAGGGGAGGGGCGCGCAGTGGAAAATCCAAGCACCTCAATAAAGCGTAAAGCAAGACAAACGGCTGACTGGCAACGTTCTTTGTTGTTGCTCTCTTTTTGCTGCGCTTAACAAGAAGAAGAACAGAAGACAAAGAAGCAGAACAAGCCCCCCAAAAACTACTACACACAAAAATTCATTTTACCGTCGCGCGTCAAGCAAAAGAAAAATACGAAATACGATTTATGCTCAACGCATTTCAAAAATAGCTTATTTTTTGCTCTCTTTTTTTTCGTTTTTTCTTGTGTGCCACATGCCACGCACTTTCAGACACTTTTGTACCTGTTGAGCGAAAAAGTATATAATTACAAGAACAACAATATGAGGAAATTGTTACATAGAAAAAAATCGCCAAGTTCGAGGGGAGACTCTTCTTTCTCGCTCTCTCTTTGCACACAATGCGGTTGTCGTCGTCGTCTCGCCGACGGCATGACTCATGCAAAGAAGAAAAAGACAAAGACAAGTGAAGTGATAGCGTTCGTTTCGTTTTAAATTTCAAATAAAAACAAACTAACGGTCGTTTAGCAAACACGCATACAAGCAAACACAAGCCACGATCAGCGAGAGCTAATTGAGCGCAAGAGAACAAGAGAGAGCGAGAAAGAGCGCAAGCCCGGCTCAAGCGTCTTCACTTCTTTCTTTGATTGAATTTCTATAACGGCAACAACAACAACAAAGTGATACCTTGGCTTGCGAGAGCAAGAGAACAAGCAGAGCGGGAAGGGCTAACCAAAACAGTTGCTTGCTAATTGTTTTGCTGAAAGGGGGACGAAGAGAGCACGAAGGTAATTACATAAAATAAAGAAAAGTTAAAATTAGCATTAATTCAAAATGCAATAAAAATACGTTTCCTTCATTTTCACTAGGAGCATTTCATTTTCATTTAATCAATTGAACATAAGTTTATAATAAGGAAAAAATTCAATGGCCATGACGCTGCTGCTGCTGCTCAGCTAGCGTCGCTCGTTGTCGTCGAAACAGTCAGCAGACCCTCATACATATATAAAAAAAATAAAAAAAAACAACATACATATATACAAAAATATATGTGTGAATGTGCGTGTGTTGGCTTTTTTTAAACATCATTTACATATTTTACTCATACATTATTTAAAAGTAAATTATGGTAAATTATATTTTTTTATTTCTTTTTATACTAATTATTGTTCCCTCCATACATTTTGCAACACTACTCAACACAACACACATTGAGTTGCCATCGCGCACATGCACGCACACAGAGAAACCCTCCTCTTTTAGTACTGCCCCATTCGCTTTACATGCGCGTGCAAGAAAGAGTCAAATGCTGTGCATGGCAGCCAGGCCAGACGAGAGCAGAGCCAGCAGCAAGCAGCTGCCGTCGATTTTAACCATTGCTGCTCGCTCTCTTTGGGCGGCTCATTCTGCAATGTGTGTGTGAGCGAGATGGCAAAGTTAATATGCTGCTTTGCTTTGCTCGACTCACTGCTGCTGCTGCTAGCGCTGTGACTGTGCAAAGACACTCTGTGTGTGTGTGTGTGGGGGCTACTACTATGAGACGGTGTGTGCATGTGTATGTGAACCGGCCGCACTTCAAATCGAACTTTAATTTTTCAAACTACATAAAACATTAAATATAAATATGCGTAAAGTATAAAAATATGCAAATATTTAACAGCACTCGATATGTTAGTTACCAGCAGGCTCGCTGCTGCAGTGAGCGAGTGAGCAGCAACAGCAGCAAAACTTAACGAAAATCAAAAATTAACATTGCAGTTTTAACTGTTGTTACATATATGAATACAATTTCAACGAAATTTAGCCGCTTTCACACACACACACAATTGCAATATATATATGTATATATATCTATTTAAATATATGCATGTGTGTAGCACTATTTCTGAATTATCAACGCAAAAAATATAAAAGTAAGGTTAGGTTAAAATTATACGCTTTTTTTTTGCGCTGCCGTGTTTAAATTTTTTTTTTTTGCTGGATCTTTCGACGGCGAACAACAACAAAAGCATAAGCAACGTTTGTGTGAGTGTGTGTGTAAGTGCTTAGCTATATATATGCATTCACACACACATGCATACACGCAAGTGTTGGGTAACTTTGGCTGGCCAAATATGTTTGAATTTTTTTGGACCAGGTTGGCCGGCTTGCAATATTTACTGCAATCACAAGCACACATGCTTGCATATGGGGTGGGGGAGGGGATGCAAACACATGTGTAACGGAAACGTCGAGCACACCAAATACACATACAACGTTCACGTTGTCTGATATATGTGTGTATATATATATCCAAGCTAATTCTAGTTGGAATCCTATTGCAAAGCTGAAAATATCTAAACTTTAGTTTTTTTTTAGTTAAGCTTAAGCTTGTAGTAAGTAATTAATGCACGTCGTCATCGCCCATTTTTCCTTGTGCTGCTTCTTTTGCTTTTTGCACGTTTTCTTTCGTTCACGTATTCGGTTCGGTTTTTTTGTCTTTCTTTCGACGTCTTTCGTTTTCTACGTTTCACATTTCTTGCATAAAATTTTTTCATTTTTTTTTGTCGCACAAGAAATTTCTATTCACATTTTATATATATATATTTTTTTTGCACTTTTGTTGCAAATTGTTGCAAAATACTTTGAACAATTTGATGTTTTTTTTTTTTTCATTATTATTTTTTGATTCACATACCTTATTGATTCTTTTTAACGCCATTTTCTGATTGAAATTTGATTTTCTTGTGTGTGTGTGTTTGTGTGAGTGTGTGTGGGTATTAGTGTTGTAGGTTTCTCTCTCCTTTCTCGATTTTTGCTTTTGTTCTTTTTTTTTTGTCGATTTGCACACGAAATGAGAAAATTGATTGTTTTAACTAGAGTGAAAAATGCTTTTATATATTTTTAGCAAAACCAAACGAAACACAAAAGCTGCGATAGGCTGGCTTTAGTTATTTTTTTATGTACTTTTCTCTGTGTGTTCTGGCTATTTTATTTTATTTTTTCTCTGGCTCTCAGCTTTTTGTCCGAGTTACAGTCTAGAAAATATTGCAGCACTGCGAGTAGAACGGCGCCCCGACGACAACTACGGCTGCGATATTCAATTTTTTTCTGTTGCAGAGCGGATGTGAGAGAGACCGACACGATGATGATGACGATATTAGCGGACCGAGACCGTATAACGATTGTATGTGCCTGAGTGCGACAGAGATGTGTGCATGTATGTTTCGGTGTTGTGGAACGTGTGTGCGTGTGTGTGTCGATATTGCCCAACACTTGTCCAATGAGAGCAGCACGACTATATTACGGTAACTGACTGACTGGCCAGATCGATATTATCTGTAAGAAGACACAACATACAATGTGGCAACTCTCGAGAATAAATTTATAATAAAATTTATTTTTAAATAAACTTACCTTCTGTGTGGCAGTAAATAGCGAGCTTCTGGTAATGGGTGTCTGCACGTGGAAATTTAGCAATCGAAGATCACCGTACACGAAAAAGAAAAGCTCCAAGCAACAAAAACACTTAACCGGCGGCGAGCGCAAATTTGTTATATGTCCGCTTAAATTGTTTTTTTTTGTTTGCTGCAAATTGGTTATCTGTTAATGAACACACAACGTGTTGCTTGCTGCCGGAATGTTTTTACTGAGGAATTTTGTTACAAAGTTGTACCATGTATTTTTGATACTGTTTAAACGGCAAACTTTGTTCTCAGGATTTTATTTTTGATGTCGCCCCAAAAAATAAAAATAATCACCTGATTTGACCAGACTTGCCAGCTGTTGGTATTTTTCCATTTATTTTTATTTTTATTTTTGATGTCGCCCCAAAAAATAAAAATAATCACCTGATTTGACCAGACTTGCCAGCTGTTGGTATTTTTCCCCCCAGCAGCGTTGCCAGACTACTGCATGGGATTTCGTATTTTTCAGCTTGCAATATACGGTCACACAAAACTGTCTGCAAATTTAAACAAAAAGCAAATTTAGCAAGCAAAAAGTTAACAAAAGAATACGAAAAAATCGTTTAATACAATTTAAGAAAAAACACCGCGTGCAAAAAGCGACAACAAAACGTTGAATTTTTTCTGCACAGTTGTTGCTGCTGTGACAAAGTGTTCGCGTGTGTGTGTGTGTGTGCGTGTCTGCATGTCGTGTGTGTGCTGTGTGAGTGTGTGTGTTGAAGATAATTTAGTTAGAGGTCATTTCTATGCGTAAGCATTTGCAACATGCGGCAGCCAGTTGATAATTGCAGCAACTACCAAAATAACAAAGGACGCTTGCAGCAGCAGCTCAGTAGCAGCAGCAGCAGCGACGCCAGCATCGTTTTATAACAACAACAACTGCAACAAAATCCACAACAAAAGAGGAAGAAAATTGCGATACGCTAATGGCGTCCACAACAACAACAAAAACAAAAACAACAGCAAAACAAGCGGAGCAGCCAGCAGAGGCAGATGCAGAGGCGGCAGCCGCAGCATCAGCAGCAAAGACGCCAACCTCGAAGCCAACGCCAACGCCCACGCTACTGCCGCTGCTGGCGTCCGCTGCCGCCTGCAATAAACAGTTGCTATTCTGCCGGCGTTTTAAGGATGCTAAAGCTGGCGGCGGTGGCGGTGCCGTCGACGCTGGCGCTGGCGCCTTTTTACGTAATTTCAATTCGCTGCCGCTGTTCGTCTATGCAACGTCGCCGTCGACGCACGCCAGCTCCGCGGATGGCGTCGGCGTCGCCAGGGAAGCAGCAGCCGCAGCCGCTGCTACTGCTGCGTCGGCGTTCAGTCAAATAAAGGTAAGTCGAGCTTTTATTTTCTCTTTCCCCCCTCTCACTCTCTTTCTATCTATGTTCTCGAATTGCGCAATTGACCATTTCCGTTGCATTACGGCAGGAGTGGTGGAGGGGGTTAGAGATGGGGATACAGTCATTGATCGTGCCGTTTTGGGTTTTTTTTTTTAAATTGTTTTTACATGCATATAAATTATTATTATCTGTTTTATGCTTGGCTGCGTCAAGCTTTTCTTGCGTCGCTTCTCTTTCTCTGCACTTGTCTGTCTAAGCCGTCCCACCTCTTCCATTCCCTTTATCAGTGCTGCGCAACGGTTGCGTTTGCGCGGAAATTGTTGGTCTCCTTCTTCTGCTGTTGAACGATATTAAACCGCTGCAGCGGCAAATACAACAGCAAGCCTAGCTTAGCTGCCATTTTAATTTTATGTGGCCAGCGAAATATGCGTTTTTAATGGTACTAATGAAATTGTTTGCGTCGTTGTGAGTTTTTTTTTGACTATACCCTGTAGCCAATTAAAGTATGTATGAGAGGTATATTAAAATCGCAAAATGTATATAGCAAAGAAGAGTATCGATTATGGAGTTATCGATAACGCAACTAACTTAAATCGCATCGTTTCATTTTAATTTATTGATTGATTTTAATTTTAAGCAGCACTTTTTAACTATGTCTGCCAAATTTATGAAGATTAGTTTTAAGAGTCTACGAATTAAATTATTATTGTTTACATTTTTATTTATGTTTTATTATTAATTTTTCATTATTTTATTTATTATATACATTTATTCTATCAGCTAGTGTTACACTCAACTTGAACGCTCCTGCTTAATTTTCAACACTGCAGTTGTTATTGTGGTTGTTAGTGTTGGTGATCGCTCGAACGTGGCGAGACGTCGTCATTAATGAACCCAACAGCAGCAGCAGCAGCCCCAGTAACTGTGCTTTTGCCTCGCATGCGCGTGTGGGTGTGGGGATGGGGTGGGGGGAGTGTGCGTGCAATATGGCTTGCTGCTTTACAGGTGCAGCCATTGACTGTGGGATCCGTGTTTCAGCTGCTTGCTTGCTCTCCTTTTGTGTTCTCTCTGCCCGCGCTCTCTCTCTCTCTCTCTTCTTGTTGTTGTTGTTGCTGCAGCTCACTGAGTTGTGACGTGCGCGAGCTGCTGCTCATAAGCTTCATTAACAGACAAACGCAGCAGCAGAAGCAGAAGCAGCAGCCATTTTGTGCGTACTCTCAGAGAGCCAGTCTCTTCTCCTTTTAAGCTCAGTTTACCGCAAATTTTTGGAGCTTTGTTGTCTTCTTGTCTGTCTGTCTTGTTGATCATTACTTTTGTTTGACACTTTCTAAAGTTGGCGAAAAAATTGCGCAGCATGGGCGTAAATCCAGCGATCTCCCTCTATCTCTATGTCAATTGGTAAATTTCGCTCTCTGCATAATATGCTTCTGTGTGTTTCAAATTGAAATCAATTTGGTTTTTTCTGATTGCATTTTAAGTGGCAAGTTACAAGCCACATCAACCCCTTGTCATAAATGTTAATGTTTGTGTGTGTATTACATACAGATATACATGCATATGTTTGTCGGTTCATTCGAAATGTATTTTATTTGTATTGTGTTATATTTTATCTCGCTTTGCAATTGCTCTTCTTCCTCCTCTTACATTTGTTTGTCTTGTGGATCATTTGATATGCTTACAACATATCTGTAGCTGCTCCCTATGGGCATTCCCCATACCCTCCATCCCTCCTCTTGCTCAAACTTATCCCCCTCCCTTTCCCACGCCTGTTAAATATTTTTGTTTCTGTTCTGTTTACATTCTTACGATCAATATTTGTATTTCAATTGCTGAATGTTGGTTTTTTTCCTGTTTACTCTATTATAGGGTATTTTGAATTTGTCATTTAACGCGTAAAAATTTATAATACATGTTTTTATTTATTTTCATTAAAAAATAAAACGAATGAACAATATAAAAGTAAAAAGAGTACAAAATTGATTAAATTAAAAATAAAACTAAACTTAAATGTAAAAAAGAAATAAAAGATTTATATATGTATTAGTTGTGTAGATAGGAATAATATTAAAAAAAAAAACAAAGAATACTTATATATTTTTGATCAGCTTATTACTTTTTCAATACTAGAAGATTACTTAAATAATATGGAAATATTTGGATTATGGGAAATAATTATTGATAGAGATAAAGATAAATAGAGAAATGATGAGAATTTCTGAATTATTAATCAGGCTGACGCACAATAAATTCCAGCGGAATCCCAGGGTAGTCTAAAGTTAATAATAATTTTTTTCTTTTTGCTGAAAATAATGATACATTTTAATACTTGCTAAAAGCTTTTTCTAAATCGAAGCTTCAAGTATTTCATCGACGCCTTAAAGCTCTTAAAGCTTGTGAGCTTTTGCTCTCTATGTTTTTTTTTATGGAGACGTCTTAAGAACTAGTGGAAAATTTGTGCAACATTTTTGTGACGCAAATATTATTTTTGAAGGTTATATATATCTTTTTATTTAATTTATTAGTTTGTTTGGCAATTAAAAGCCTATGTTAATCGAATGCAATAAAAAAGAGTTTGAATGTTTATCAAATTTCCATAAATATCAAGCCAAAAAAAATAATGCGTGCAGTTAAATGCCAGAAGTGACTATCTATCTCACTCTCACTCACTCAACATCGCTCCCCCCCACTGCTAGAACAGGTCATTGATTAAACGTTCCTTGAGCTTTTGCCGGCGTCATGGCAACAACAACATATTCAGTTTGTTTTGCTTTTGTGCTGCCCTTTGCATTTGGACTCACTCGCACTTATGGATGCGTCTATGTTGCTCTCCCCTTCACTCGCTCTCTTTGAGCTGTCATTCTTTGCACTCGTTGCGTGTAATTAAGCAGCTAAACGATAAGAAGCAAAGTGGACACTGGGTCAACTTGGACTCTCTCCCTTTCTCGCTCTCTCTCATGTCTCTCTTTTGTGTCTATCGTGTCTAGACTTGTTTGTTTTGCTTTGCTGCACTTGTCGCTGCTTCTTCCATTGGGGAGTTTTCAATCAGAGCTATTTGGTCATTTTTTTTCTTTTTGTTTTTAGTTTGTTCTCTCAAGTGCATTAGCCTTTGGCATATATTTTTGTTACCTTTCATACTTCTAATTAGCTGCTAATGGATGAGCTTGTGCTTGGCATTTGTTTACCCACAAATTAAGCCCAAGAAAAATGCATAAACAAAATAACAATTGAAGCATAATAAGAACATAGACAAAAAGATACAAATGCAGCTGCTACTGCTAATGTTGCTGTTCATATTAACACGCTCTCTCTCGTGCTCTCTGCTTTCTTCCCGTCTTGCTCTCTGAATTCAGCGCTTTGTGCTCAAACTGGGACTGTTAAGTTGCACTCCGCTCTCTCTGCTATTTAACCTTAACTGCCATGAGTCATGATGCTAACTGTTAGCCCTAGTGTTTTTTTTCACTCAAGCGCTCTCGCTCTCGCGATCTCTCCCATTGAGTGTTAACAGTGAGCGCAACTGTTAAATATATGTGTGCGCTCTCATTGAGCAACAACAGCACAATGTTAAACATTGGTAAAATATTAACAGCTGTTGTTGTGTTTGTATTGTACAATTTGCCGTTGGAGCGTGCGGTCGGCTTTTTTTTTCGCCGCGCTTCGTTTACAAAAAATCAGAAATACAAAGAAGTATCTGTCAGATACACGCGTCTCTTTTCCTGGGTGCCTTTAACAGTCATTTGTGTTGTGCGTTGTGTGTTGTTTATATTTCCTTATTTTTGGGCATATTTTCTGCAACAGCTGAATCATCATCGGCTTTGTTTTTGTCTGCTTGTCGTTCAGTATTCGAGTTCGAATTAAAATTCGAATTTTAAGTCGCGCTCTTTCGATTGCTGTTCTACATACGAGAGACATCAACACACACACACCCACATACACAAATACATACACACATATGTAAATAAATAAATATTTCTATGAATTTGTAAATTATCATTATATATTTAAAATTGTGCTTATTATGAAATAGCAAAAAGATAAATAAAAATAAAAAATAGCAAAACCGGTCAACAAAAAAAATACAAATAAAAAATACAAAAAAATAAAAGTGAAATTTCAAAGTTATGCAAAATATATTTTTGCTGATTTTAAGTGCCGATTGTGACTAGTGAATATATATGTATATATATAACTATATAGTATATATATATCAGATACATAACAAGCTCTGCTTTCATTTGGATTAAATTGAATGTGTTTCTTCATCAGCAGCATCATCTGATCTACTCTGAGACCCGTTTTAAATGAGATCAACTAGATAAATGGTGTGTATCTGCAACTAAACTAGACTCAACTAAATTAAATCATATAAATAAATCTTATCCGCCCTTCTCTCCCTCTCTCCACCCATCTTTCCCGTTTGTCACTTATCTCACCTCTGAAAAACTGAAAAGATTATAAATTGAATATTTTTTGCACGTAATTTGTTGCAGCGGAAATTAAAGTCGGGGGAAAAAAAGATATCTTTGATAAATACTATGAGAGAGGGAGAGAGAGAGAAATCAGAATTAAAATTGATAAAAATAATGCGTTGCAACAAAATATTACTCGTTATTGTATGGATTGAATTAAAGCTAGTCAACATTCATATTAAGGTGATTAAATTAATATTCTAAATATCTAAGCAATCAGAGTACATATACTTGCAGTTACAGACATGGAAAAGATAAAATATAAAAAATATGGAATCGATAACAGCGATAAGTGTTAATCGGTAAAGCTAATATGTGTCCTTTAATTTCAAAATCCAAAATCTAAATATATATAAAAGGAAGAAATGTAAATAATCTCTTAGGAGAAAATCTGTGGCGAAATATTGAGACAACACTCACTGTTAGCTTATATTGCTTATAAAATATCTGAGATTATACATTTTATGTAGCAGCAGTATTAATATTTTGACAGCAACTGTATATTCTGAGTCAGCATTAAAAGTC